AGGAGTGCAAAAGGCACCTCCAGCGGAAGCTCGGCCTTCAGGTCGAGGGATTCGGGCTTTAGTGGTTTAGGGTTTAGGGTTTAGGGTTTAGGGTTCAGGGTTTAGGGTTTAGGGTGTAGGCGTTTAGGGTTTAGGGTTTAGGGTTTAGGGTTTAGGGTGTAGGTGTTTAGGGTTTAGGGTTTAGGGTTTAGGATTTAGGGCTTAGGGTGTAGGGTTTAGGGTTTAGGGCTTCGAGCTTCGGGTTTAGGGTTTGGGTTTCGGGTTTAGGAATTTGGGGTTTGGGATGTGAATTTAGGGTTTTTGCGCCGGGATTAGGATTTAGGGCTACCTAGGTGTCCAATACAAGTTCTTAAGGGTTCTACATGGGGACTATCGTTCATTTGCCTGTGTTGGCTTCCCCACTATGCCAGGAAGCAAACGTCGCCAAAGCTTTCAGTGGGTTTAGGGTTTAGCTTTGTTTTTCAAGTGCAGTTGCCCTTGGGCTTAGGGTTTCGGGCTTAGGGCTTTTTTTAAGTGCAGTGGCCCTGGGACTTAGGGTTTAAGGTTTAGGGCTGTTTTAAGTGTAGTGGCCCTTGGGCTTATGGTTTAGGGTTTAGGGCTTTTCTTGAAGTGCAGTGGCCGTTTGGCTTAGGGTTTAAGGTTTAGGGCTTAGGGCTTGTTTTTAAGTGCAGTGGCCCTTGGGCTTAGGGTGGCACTTTTTAAGTGCAGTGGCCCTTGGACTTAGGGTTTAGGGCTTTTGGTTTGAGTGCAGTGGCCCATGGGCTTAGGGTTTAGGATTTATGGATTTTCTTCGAGTCACGTTTTGCCTGCGTTGGCCACAGCGGCCACGTTTTTGGGCTTGCGTGCGCTAGACGTTCCGGACCTGTTCCGTACAGCGTGGAGTGGAGTGGAGTGGATTTTCGGTAAGTGCAGTGGCCCTTTGGCTTAGGGCTTAAGGTTTAGGGCTTAGGGCTTGTTTTTAAGTGCAGTGGCCCTTGGGCTTAGCGTTTAAGGTTTAGGGCTGTGTTAAGTGCAGCGGCCCTTGGGCTTACGGTTTAAGGTTTAGGCTTCTGGGTTTTTGGTTTAAGTGCAGTGACCCTAAACCCTAAACCCTAAACCGTTGGGCTTAGGGTTTAAAGTTTACCTGGTTACTGAGCTTCCCGCAGCTTCGGGCACTTTATCCTTGTTCTTCTCGAAGTAATCTGCAGCCTCGAGGTGGGCTTTCGGTGAGCAGCGACCCCTATAGAACCCAAAACCAAGCCGACTCGACAAGCCCTATCAAAACCTTGATAATAAAGGGGCCTTAAGAATTAGGACAGGGTTTTGGGGTATAATCTACTATTTCTATAATAAGAAACCCCCAGAATAGTATAGGTAATTATCAAGGCCCCTTTTTTACCCAGTAGCGCCCTTCTTTTTGAAAAGACGCCCTTCAGCCTCTCAACAGGAAGCTTTTGTAAACCTCTACTGACATACCTTCATCCCCCCAAACTCTAAACCCCAAACCCCAAAGCCCTAAATCCTAATCCCCTAGACCCTAACCCTTGAAAAGACGCCCTACTGACATACCTTCATCCCCCTAAACCCTAAACCCTAAATCCTAAACGCCTAAACCCCAAATCCTGAACCCCTTAAACCTAACCCCTAAACCCTGGCAAGCCAGCCCTCGGAGCCTTGATGAAAGCCTCCGCGGTGCCTGGCAGCTTACGGTTTCAAAGCTAAGGGTTTAGGGTTTTGTTTGAAGGGTTTAGGGTTTAGGATTTTTGTTTTGAGGGTTTAGGGTTATTGTTTAAGGGTTTAGGGTTTAGGGTTTTTTTGTTAAGGGTTTAGGGTTTAGGGCATAAGGGTGCTCTCCCATTTACAATCAAGGTTTTTAACAGGGTGTTATGGCTTGTTAAACAGGGGTTTATGTGGTTTTCCCGGGGGATAGCATAGGTGCTGTAATAAATAAATCGTGGTTCGGACAGAGGGGAATACCATTACCCACTCTTCAGACCTGCATATCAACCGAGTGTGGCGGTTTAGGGTTTCCAGTTTGGGGTTTAGGGTTTAAGTCTTGGGATTTAGGGCTTGAAGGTTTACGGCTTAGGGCTACAGATTTTATCGTCGACAATCCCGGGCAGGGTTCTCGGCAGGTTCACGGCATTGGAGTCTTCGGATGGCGGCCTACGTAGGGGACCCTAAACCCTAAACCCCTGAGCTGTTGGAATAGGGCAAACTCTAAACCCCTTCAACCCCAAGCCCGCAAATTTCAAACCCTGCAATCTCGGGGTATTTTGGGGCCCTGAATAGTTAGAATAGGGTTTTGGGGTGCAGTATACTCTAACTATAATAGGGAGCCCACCAAAGTAGTGGGAATTTACCCTAAACCCTAAACCCTAAACTCAGAAGCCCAGACCCTAAACCCCCAACCCTAAACCCTAAACCCCAAACCCTAAAAACGCTAAACCCTAAACTCAGAAGCCGTGATCCTCATCCGAGGTGCAGGTGATGGGGCTCAGAACAAGACAAGTTTCAAGGTTTGCAGTTTTAGGGTTTAGGGCTTAGGGTTCTGGGTTTAGGGGTGTGGGGATTAGGGTTGAGGGTTTAGGGTTTAGGGTTGAGGGTTTAGAGGTCATGCGCTTCGGTTGTATACCACTGTCGGCTTACATAGGTCCCAGGGTCTAGAACGGTGCTAAGCTTACGCTTGTGGTCTCTAAGGTCTCACATTCTGCACGATACCAAGCATGCAGTTGCACGAATGCTAGACGATCAGAGGCTCAGCAAGCACGTAGAGGTATAAGTAGTGCGAACGGGGGTACTTACCCTCAAGACTCGAAACGTTCATGGCTGAAGCCCCTTCATCCTTCTAAGTAAGCAAATCTATACTGAACTTAGATCCCTGGCAAAAATTATAATTTTTGCGGCTTCTTAGAGTTTATAGTAGCCAAAAATTTAAAATTATTTCTCAGTGCCCCTAAGAAATGACAAGCTCCTCTGGCCTTTGTTGCCGAGCTTCTCTAGCATCTGCTCCACGTCGTCGTAGTCCTCTCAGCGTCTCCCCGCGGCAGAGGGTTGCTGGCTATGCGGTTTAGGACATAGGGTTTCGGGGTCTAGGGTTTTATCCCAACCCCAGAAGCAACGACGAATAATTCTCCCCATATACATCCCAAAACTTACAGCTTTAAGCCCGAAACATAGACCTTCAACTTGGTGACCTACTGTTGATGATATAAATCCTGCAGTACCTTAAGGACCCCCAAACCATAGGAAATTATGGAATATTCCTTATTATGGGTAATGCAGGATTTAGATCATCAGCCCCTAAACCCTAAACCATAAGACCCCTAAAACCCCTAAAACCCTAAACCCCTACTAGATCATCAACCGTACACCCCAAGCCCTCGTCCCGAAAAACTGGAGCCCGAAGCTTAAAGCCCAAACTCTGGGCCCGAAGGGTCAAACCACCAGAATTTAGGGTTTAGGGGTTTGGGTGTTTGGGATATGGGGAATTAGGGTTTGGGGGTTTGGGGTTTTAGGGTTTACGGCTTAGGGTTTAGGGTTTAGGGGTCTGGGGTTTAGGAAATTAGGGTTTAGGGGCCCAAGGTTTGGGGTTTAGGGTTTAGGGGTTTAGGGAATTAGGGGTTCGCGTTTAGGGTTTAGGGGTTTGGGGTTTAGGGTTTGGGGTTTACTGGTTTAGGGTTTAGGGTTTAGGGGATCTTCTGCACCCAACGAGCTTGGTTGCTTTCAATTCCTTGTTGGTGCCTGCCCTCTCTGTCTCCGGAAGACGGCATTGGTTTAGGGCTTAGGGTTTAGTCTAGGCTTCAAGAGCTTTGAGTTTCAGTCCGGGGCTTAGGGGCTTAGGTTTGGGGTTTAGGGCTATTAGGCTTTTAGGGTTTAGGGTTTAGGGTCCTTACCTGTAGTCTCCATTGTGGTTCCCTTTTGGGGAGGCCTTATAAAATCCTTAATGAGTTTAGGGCCTGTAAAGGTCCAGGCCATGAGGGACTGAGCGCAAAAACCCAAAGACCGTAAAGCCGCAAAACCTTAAAACCCTAGGGCCCTGAATTCCAAACCCTAAGGCCATGAACTCATTAAACCCTGAGGCCTTGAATTCTAAGACCTAAAGCCGCAAAGCCTTTATCCCCGGAACGTTGAAACCGTAAAACCTTGGACCCCGAGACCTTTAGAACCCTAAAACCTCAAACCACCAGATCCCCCCCCAAAAAAAATAAACCCTAAACCCCGGAAGTCCCATACCATGAGTCCTCGCCCACACCGCGCATATCCACAGGGACCATCATCTCCTCATCAGCCACCTGCCCAGACCCCACGTCATTGTTCAGGGCTTGGGGGTTAAGGGTTTAGGGTTTAGGCTTTGGCGTTAAGGGATGTTAGAGCATCAGGGTTTTGGGTTCACAGTTTAGGGCTTACAGTCTCCTGAGGGTCGGGGTGGACGATTTTCTGATGAAGGGTAGCTCGTAAGCAGCAAGACCCTACGTCATTGAAGCAAATCTTCTGTAACGGGTCAGATAAGTCCGTCATACGCCATAATCATAGAGTTTTGCTTTCAAGAATACAGTACCAGTGGTCCGTCCTGTGAAAGGTTCTCAGAACAAACCCAATGTAGATAAGGGAGATAGGGCAGCATGATCGTGCCATCAAAGGAATCGTGATCACAACCACCCTCGCCGTCAACATCACCAGCATCATCCCCGCTGCTACAGCCACCAGCACCAGCACCAGCACCAGCACCAGCACCAGCGCCAGCGCCAGCGCCAGCACCAGAACCAGCACCAGCACCAGCACCCGCAACAACACCAGCACCAGCACCACCAGCACCATCAACACAAAAACACATGCCTCGGACAGTGTCTTATAGTCATAGTCATCATCAGCAGGATCATCATCACAACCATAACGACCAGCATCATCAACATTGTCAACACCTGCGAATCTGTAAACTGTTAATGCGAGAGCTATCCCTCTGAAAACCGAGGCCACAGTGACTCCGAGGCCTTGTCTGGCAATGTGAGCTCATTCACCAGGTCCTCCGTGATGTCTTCGCCCTTCCTGGAAGGAAGTGCACTTCAGGGTTTAGGGCCTAAGCGATCTACCCCAAAACCTCAAACGATGTAAGATTGCAAATGTACGGAAGGTGAGCAGATTAAGACAACATGTTCAGCCCTAGATGTCAAATCCTAAACGCCCTAAACCCTGAACCCGGAATCCAAAATCCTACTCTGCCTAAACCAGAACATGTTCCACCGTTGCCACCCTTCTGTCAGCGAGCATTGGAGATCCCGAAACCCTTGAGCCCTAAACGCAAAGAAACTCTATTTTATCGTGAACCCTAAGCCCTCAACCCCAAAGCCTAAAGCCCCAAACCCTCAACCCTCTAAACCCTGAACCCTCAACCCTCAAGCCCTAAAGCCCTAAACCCTACAGCCCTAAAGCCCCAAACTGCACCAAACGAGCCGAGATACTCGAGCTTCCTTAGATGTCGCACAGACGAATCACAAGAGTCTTGATAGGGTTTAGGGTTTAGGGTTTAAGGTTTAAGGGGCCTGACTATCCAGAACTAGGGCTTTAAGAGCTTTTTTGTCAAAGCCTTGCCGTTGTCCTCGTATGCGGCTGCATGGGGTCGCAAAACAGCTTCAATGATTAGTATAGGTTTGGGGTTTAAGGTTTACGGTTTAGAGTAGGTTTTGGGTCACAACAGATTAGAATAGGTTTGGGGTTTAGGGTTTACGGTTTAGAGTAGGTTTTGGGTCACAACAGATTAGAATAGGTTTGGGGTTTAGGGTTTGGGTTTTAGGGTAGGTTTTGGGGGGTTGTATTTTTAGACTCGACTTACATCTGGCCTTTCAGGGCATATTTTGACAATTGTGCCGACCCCTACATTAATGCCGGTTGGGATTAGGTACCCGGGTTTTGGGATTTATGCAGGGCTTATGGATCTAGGATTTAGGGGCCTGGGGGAGCAGCATAGGATTCTACAGTTCGGGGCTTCGGCAGTAAGATTTCGGGTTGAGGGGCTGGGGTGCTACGATGCAGCGTTGTAAGCTAAGCGGGAGGCTTCATTTTCCGGAGTTGAGAATGAAGGTTTCAGCGTTCACCATCAAACTCGCGAAACCCTGCACCCTCAAGCCCTAAACCCCAAGCCTCAACCCTAAACCCTAAACGCTAAACCTTTAAGCCCTCAACCCCAAACCTACAGCCCTATAGAGCCTTCACCTCTAAACCCGCGCACCAGAAAAAACCGTTCAAAAGATCCTGCACAGGTCCTTCCTCCGAAACCCCAAGCCTGAAGCCTTGTCCCACAAGACTTGCACCATGCACGTTTAGGGTTTGGGGTTTAGGGTTTGGGGTTTGGGGTTTAGGGTTTAGGCTTTCGGCTTTAGGGTTTAGGGTTTGGAGTTTGGGGTTTGGGCTTTGGCGTTTAGGGTTTAGGGCTTGGGGTTTAGGGTGTAGGGTGAAGCCTTGAGCCCCTTCAGGGACGAGCGGTGACCTCGAAGGGTGCCGAGGCACTCTTTGACGGTCTTCAGTGCCTTCTCGCACACGTAGAAGATGTCCTGCGAGATGAGAACCCAGGGACTTCATTACCCTGTGCAATACCGCACAACGGAGGCAGGGGCCTTAATAATTAGAATAGGGCTTTGGGGCCCATTCTACTATTATCATATGGAGCCCCCAAAATAGGATTGGTAACTATGACTATTATTTAAACCCGTACAGTATTTGTAAACCTGACCCCAACTTAAACCCTGCGCGCGGATCGGAATCGCTGGGAACAGAGGGTCGGCGGTTGCAACAATGGGCTTAAGCCTTCAAGGTTTAGGGGGTTCAGGGCGTAGGGCTGCAGATGTTGGGATCTGCTCAGGGGGTCCTGGCTTCGGAAAGCTGGATTTCGGTTCAGGCTCAGGGTGGGGTTTAGGAACCCCTAAAAGCTGAACCCTAAATCCGAAACCCTTTAATCCAGGGATTAGGGCATGCGTCGAAACATTGTTCAGGATCGAGAGCCCAAGGGTAGGAATAGTCCCCGCCGCCTTCAGGAAGAACTTTGATACTATCCCTGAGTAGGGAAGGTAAGGGTTCAGCTTTGAGCCTAAACCCTAAACCCAAAACCCTAAACCCAAAACCCTAAACCCTAGACCCTAAACCGTTTGAGGGCTGGAGCTTAGAAAACTCCTTCAAACGGGGCCGAAGCGAGGATAGATGCGACTGGGGAGCTGGTCGTAGCAAAGTCTAATATAGGGGCCTAAAAAATTACCTAAACTATTTTTTGTTGGGAGGGGGGGGTTATTAGTTATAGTATAATGGGCCCCAAAACCCTATTCTATTATTAAGGACTCTATATCAGTGAAGGACTAGGTTTGGGGATTTGGAATAATCTAGTCGGTTCCCCAGTACCCTTTAGGGGTTTAAGGGTTTAGGGCTTAGGGCCATGATTGGATGACCAACTAACTAGTTTACGGTTTCGAGTTTAGGATGTTAGTGCTCATCGTGGAAACCTACCAGTACTTGTGTCGCTGCATGTTGTTAACATGCTGACAGTATCTTCGGAGTAGTCTGCTCATGCGCAGTTGTCTAGACAACTGCAGCAAGAGGCATATCTATCTATATATATATACACATACATATACATATATATATATATATGTATCGGCAAATCAAAACTGGATCTGGAGAGGGTTTGTGAAGAAACGATGCTTCCTGCTACCGAGCCTTCCATACTACCGGACTAAGCCCTACAACCCTAAACTCTCCTAGACTTTGAAGTAACCAGGGAGAAAAAAGTATAGACTTTTATGCTATAATGGTTCCCTTAAGGAACAGGTCCCCAAAAAAGTATTCAAGTATGGTACTCCAGAACCCAGTCTCTAAACTTCCTTCTTCCCTTCTGCTTTTTAGAGGTCCTGAGCTTCTTCCTCGGGAGCGGCGGCCATGGTGTCTTTTTCAACGAGTCACAGACGGACGGGAGCAGGAAAACGGGCAGAGCCTGGAACCCTAGCAGAGGGTAGAAATGAGAAGTCGGTAGCTGCCCTATGGGACGGGAGAGCCTTTGCCTTGGAGGGGCGGGAATGCACCATCGGACGCACATGCGATGCCTGAGCTTGCCCTGTGAGCCACGTGGAAGGTGGAAGCAGCGGTCGATTTTCATAGTCAACAGCGACGTCAGCAAAAAGCAACACGAACAACAGTAGTTACAATGACGGTGAACCAGAATGATGAAGATCATGAAATTGTTCGCAAGGGCAGGGTCATAAGCATTGTGATCCGGAGGATGGTGCTTAGATAGACGAGGATGCAGACGACGATGAAGATGACGATACAAGTAAGTTTGAATCTCGATATAAACTTGCAGCACCGCCGCCACCACCACCACCACCACCACCACCACCACCACCACCTGCCGATGGCGATGCCCAAAGTAGGCACCTCTAGCAGCGACAATGCTCACTGTCATCAGTACCGATTAACCACGATAACGGCATGGATCGAGAAAAATATATACGAAGCACCACAGCCTTCTGCTATAATACACTGAAACGGACTCATGGAAGGAGAAACGACAATCTCGGTATGTAGAATAAAGCGGTCCACCCCAAGCATGGTAATAGTTGGTCCAGCTTGTTCTTCGTCCTAACTGTGTCGTAATGGAACTGGTATTCGCAAAGATAGTAGAGCGAACCCCTGACCACTGACCACTCTTCTTAATCTGTCATAATCTTCTGATTTCACAGTGTCTCGGTTATGTAGGGGCCTTAATAATTAGAATAGGGTTTTGGGGGATTCCTTATCATAATTATAGTTATAGTATAATACAGACCAAACCCTATTACCAGTATTAAGGCCCCTATACTACTCCCCTTGTTAAACCCAAAGGGTCCTAGGTACTGTTATCGGGGATACTTTCCCAAATCATAATAGCAATTCCTAATATAGAAACCCTAAACCCTAAACCCTAAACCCTAAAACCCTAAACCCTAAACCCTAAACCGTGACCCTTTGGGAAAGGATGGTGATGGAGACGATGAATGGATCCGTTTTGCGAGAGCAAGCAAGCCTTGACGGACACAGCCCACCGCCAAAAGGCACGGCAAATAGAGGGTTAGAGTTAGGGTTAGGTTTAGGGTTTAGGGTTTTAGGGTTTTAGGGTTTAGGGTTTAGGGTTTAGGGTTTAGGGTTTAGGGTTTAGGGGTTTAGGGGTTTAGGGGTTTAGGGTTTAGGGCGTGAGGCTCACTAGCTCGGGAATCCCGATCCCTGAGCCCAAAGGGACACACGCAAAGCTAAACCCAAACCCCAAACCCCCCAACAAACCAACACCCTGAACCACATAAAAACCGGACGCGCTGAATCCTGCAAGCACGCCCCCCTAACCCCAGCAACCCGACACAGAACGATCTACTCTAGCCGAAAAACGATGTCGTCGAAAGGTTCTGTCATCAGCCCACAAGACCATAAACCCCAAACCGTGGCCCTTAATATCAACAGCTGCGCTCCCTTTCTGCGCTGCATCGCTTCTCCACCTCTCCGCGTTGCCAAGTCCATCTCGCGTACTGAAGGCCTTGGCTTATGGTTTCCAGCGTTTGTCCTGGTGGCTTTCAGGGTGTAGGCTTTAGGGTACCACATAACGCCGTTTTAAAGGCTCCTTTAAAGGGTTGCTGTCATGGGTTCCTTTCACGGGATCCTTCAAAGGATGCATATATGGGGGTTTACTGCTGAGGGCGTTCTGTGGCTGGTGGGCGAAGTCTTGAAACCTACAAGCCGATACAGCAAAAGGCGAAAATGGGGTTTAGGGTTTAAGGTTTTAGGTTTTATGGGTTTGGAGGTTTAGAGGTTTAGGGTTTAGGGTTTAGGGGTTTAGGATTTAGGGGTTTAGGGTTGAGGGGTTTAGGGTTAAGGCGCATAAACTTCTAATCTAAGTTGGAAGCATGGGTCTCGGAACACTTGCTTGCATATTCTCGCGATGTCCCACATGATTCTAGGGATTAGGGTTTAGGGTTGTGTTCTGCTGTAACTTTCACTGCGCCGTGCGGTATTGGGTTCCAATACGCTGCAGCTGTATCAGCAAATACCTTGAAAAACGCCCTAACCATGTCAAGCGAGCAGCAAAGCAAAGCTGTAAACCAAAAACAAGAGGACGGACTGCCACTGACATGGTCCGAACCCTAAATCTTCAAACTTCACCGACCAGACCACTTAAGCAACCTGTCATGAACCCCTCTGCTAGCCCCATTATCCTAGATGTTTTTAAGCCTACCAAAACCCGAAAGGACTCACTCTGAAGCTTCTTCAAACTTTATGTTTAGATTTGAACTGATTTTCTCAGCGTGTAGGCTTTGCGGGTTTAAGTCTTGAGGTTTAGGGTCACAACCCTAAATCCATGTTTGCCACAGCCGCATCAGGACTGGGCGCCCTGGAACGTGACGGGCTTCGGCGTTTATCGGTTCCTCTCAAGATCGCTATGAGGGTTGCGATAGGGATTCAATGAAGGATACTGGGTTTAAGTTTTAGAGTCTTTAGAGATAGCACGGTTCTGAGGTGATTGAGGAGAAACTATAATGGTGCCTACAGCGAGAGAAAGAGCGAGAGAGAGATACAGAGAGTGAGAGTGAGGGTGAGGGTGAGAACAAGAGCGAGCGCCAGCGTGAGAGTGAGAATGGGGGAGAGAGCGAGATAGAGAGAGAGAGAGAGGGAGAGAGAGAAGGAGAGAGAGTGAGAGAGAGAGAGA